GGTGCCAATGCCATTCAAAGGAGGAAGAACAGCCTTTTCAACACACTATGCTGGAATAACTAGATATCCATAGGCAAACCCTGCCCCCTCCAAAACCAAAACAAAACCAAAACTCTTAAGTCTCACACCTTACACAAAAATTAACTCAAAATAGATCATAAACTTAAGTATAAAATATAAAACTAAAACTTTCAGAAAAAAGCATAGGACAAAATCTTCAGGATAGGGCCAGGCAAAGAGTTCTTAGACTTGACATCAACAACCTGATCAATCAAATGAAAACTGTTAAATTGAACTTCCTTAAAATTAAAAGTTTTGCCCCATGTAAGACTTTGTTAAGAGGCTGAAAAGACAAGCTACGCACTGGGAGAAAATATTTTCAAACCACATATCTGACAGAGAACTAGTAGTTAGAACATAGAATACACCATCAAAATGGCTAAAAATTTTTTTTTTAAGTGACAATACCTAATGTTGGTGAGGATGCGAAGAAACTGGATCACTCATACGTTGCTGGCAGGAACATAAAATGGTACAGTTACTCTGGAAAACAGTTTGGCAGTTTCTTTAAAAACTAAATGTGCACTTAGCATACAGCCCAGCAACTGTACTCTTGGCATTTATTCCAGAGAAGTAAAATTTATGTTAACACAAATATCTACATACAGGCGTTTGTATCAACTTCATTTGTAATAGCCAAAAACTAGAAACAACCCAGGTATCCTTCAATGGGTGAGGTTAAACAAACTGTGTTACATTCATACCATGGAATACTAAACCATAAAAAGGGGCAAACTCTTGATATACACATCATACTGAATAAAAAACAGTAATCCCAAGAGATTACATACTGAATGATTCCATTTATACAGCATTCTTGAATTGACAAAATCATAAAAATGGACAACAGATTAGTGGTTGCAAGGGGTTAAGGAGGAATTTGAGTAGCAGAGAGTGGGTGTAGCTATAATAAAAGGGCAACATGAGGAGTCTTTGAGATGAAGCAAATGTTCTGTATCTTGACTGTGTAAATGTTAAATCCTGGTTGATATTTTACTACAGTTTTGCAAACTATTGGGGAAAACTGGGTAAAGGGCACATGGGTCTTCTCTACATTACTTCTTACAACTGCATGTGAATCTACAATTGTCTCAAAATAAAGTTTTATTTAACAAAGAGCAACTATATGTTTCCTACCAAAGCCACAATTTAAATATAAAGCCACAATTAGGTTAAAAGTGAAAGGACAGAAAAAGATATACCATTCTAATATCAGTCAAAAGATAGCTACTTTTTCCACTCTATCTTGGATTAGCTATTTTACTGTAAGAAAAAGTAGATTTCAGAGAAAAGGATATTACCAGGGATAAAGATGGTTATTTCAGAAGATAAATGGGTCATTAATCATGAGGACATAAAAATCTTAAATATGTATGCCCATAATAATGGAACTTCAAAATACACAAAGCAAAATTTGATAAAGTTGCAAGGAACAATAAACAAATCCACAATTATGGTTAAAGATTTTAATACCTCTCTTTTAATAACTGATAGAGTAAGTATACATAAAATTAGCAAAGATATAGCTGACTTGACATATATGATCAATCAACTTGACCTAACTGACATTTATAGAACAAGCACCAAACAAGAGAAGAAGGGACTTCCCTGGTGGTGCAGTGGTTAAGAATCTGCCTGCCAATGCAGGGGACATGGGTTTGAACCCTGGTCCGGGAAGATCCCACATGCCGCTGAGCAACTAAGCCCATGTGCAACAACTACTGAGCCTGTGCTCCAGAGCCCGTGAGCCACAACTACGGAGCCCACATGCCACAACTACTGAAGCCTGTGTGCCTAGAGCACGTGCTCCGCAACAAGAGAAGCCACTGCAATGAGAAGCCCGTGCACCACAATGAAGAGTAGCCCCCACTCGCCACAACTAGAGAAAGCCCGTGTGCAGCAACAAAGACCCAACGCAGCCAAAAATAAAAAAAAACGAGAATACATATTCTTTTCACATGCACATGAAACATTTACCAATACAGATCATATTCTAGACCATAAAACTAATCTTAATAAAAGGTTTCGAGTCATAATACAAAATATCAATATGTCCCCAACTGTAATCAACTAACTAGAAACCAATAGAAAAATATTTGGGAAGTTCCCAAATACGTGAAAACTAAATGTCACACTTCTAAACAATCCACGAGTCAAAGAAGAAATCAAAATGAAAATTAGAATATATTTTTAACTGAATAAAAATGAAACAACAGCAAATTAGAAACTGAGCTAATGCTAAAGCAGTACTTAGGAAGAAATTTATTGCACTGAATGCCTATATTAAAAAGTTAGAAAAGTCTCGAAACAATGACCTCATCTTTCATCTTAAGGAACTAGAAAAAGAAGAGCAAATTAAATCCAAACTAGACACAAGAAGCAAATAAAGTTCAAAGCAGAAATCAATGAAATAGAAAGTATAAAAACAACTTAGAAAGTCATTGGAATCAAAAGCTGGTTCTTTGAGAGTATATCAATAAAATTGATAAGCTTTTAGCCTGACTGAGAGAGAAGATATAAATTATCAATATCAGAAATGAGAGAGGTAACATCACTGTGGATTCCACAGATAATAAATGGATAATAAGGAAATTTTATAAACACTGTTATTATAAACACTGTTGTTATCCCTCTGAATTTGACAACTAAGGTGAAATTCCTTAGAAGACACAAACTACTAAAGCTCACTCCGAAAGAAACAGATAACCTGAACAAACCTGTATCTATTAAAGAGATGGAATTTGTAGTTAAAAATCTTCCCATGAAGAAATATTCAGGATGATAATTTACAGGTGAATTGAACCAAATATTAAAAAGGCAATAATGACAATTTAAACAAACTTTTCCAGAACACTGAAGAGGAAAGAATATTCCCCAACTCATACTATGAGGCCAGCATTGCACTGATACCCAAACAAGACAAAGACATTACAAGAAAACTACAGACGAATATCCTTCATGAATATAGATGTAAAAATTATAAACAAAATATAAGCCAAATGAATGCAACAATATATAAAAAAGATAAAATAAATCATCAGGACGAAGTAGATTTCATCCCAGGAATGCAGGGTTGGGTTAACATTAATCAACCAATATAATTCATCATATTAATAAACTAAAAAAACATCTCAATAGACACAGAAAAAACATCTGAAATAATCCAACATCCATTCCTGATTAAAAACCAAAACAAAATGAAACTAAGAATAAAACCGGAGCTGGAGTTGGAGATGCTTACTGCCAGGCAGGGTGAGGAGAGCTGAGTGAACTGAGGCAAGGAGGTCAGAGGTACAAATCAGGGATTGAGGTTGTAATTCCTAGTACTTGGTACCTGTACGGTCAGAGTAGGGTCAACCTCTCTTGATACTATGCCCTTAATGTTTGTTTCACTTATTTATGCTTCAACTAGAAGTACTATAAGTTTGTTGAGTGCAGATACTTTTCTTATAACTTATGTGAGGAACACAATATTTTATAAGGGACTAGTATTGCTGCTATTACAGATATTATTTGAATATTCTTTATTTAAGAGTAAAATCTTTCAGCTCCTCTTTGAGGCCCTTAATTTCCATCCGGATTCTCTTTGGAGCTGTTTGTTTAGTCATTAATGGTTCTTTGAATTAAATCACATGTCTTAGAGTTCACAGGACTTCCTCTTCAGGAAAGAGGATACCAAAAGATACCATCTTCAGGAAAAAGATGTGTCCTAAATATGAAGAATTCAACAATGTTGCCATGAAATACTACAGATTTCCTTTTTCAAGTTTGTGCTTGAAAGCATAATGGGTGACTTATTTTTCTTAGCATTTAAAAAAGAAAAAATTTGGACTCATTTGGCCATAAAACAAACATCTTTGTGCCTCAAGATCATCTCTTAATTTCTCATTTTAATATCCCTCACAATCTTTTGAGTTGCTATAATATTTTATGGTATTTTAGTTGATATAAAATATTATTATGGCCTCCTTACCAATACCAATTTGAACTTTAATACTGACCATTCTTAGCAGTTCTTGTCTCACTATTTTCAAAACTAAAAGCATTTTTGAAAGAAAAATTCAAATAAAAATTTCATTTTTGTTTCAAGTAATCTATTTTTGCTACAAATAAGTGGCTCTGAAGACCCTCCTAATAGGTTTCTCAGTTACTTGCTTTGCTGTTAGTCTGCTGAGGCTGGTTGTACATATGTTCCAAAAGCCAGTTTATCGTAAGGTAGATAGCTAGTAGGAAGCAGCCGCATAGCACAGGGATATCAGCTCGGTGCTTTGTGACCGCCTGGAAGGGTGGGATAGGGAGGGTGGGAGGGAAGGAGATGCAAGAGGGAAGAGATACGGGAACATACGTATATGTATAACTGATTCACTTTGTTATAAAGCAGAAACTAACACACCATTGTAAAGCAATTATACTCCAATAAAGATGTAAAAAAAAAAAAAAAAAAGCCAGTTTATGCCTGAAGTTCACTCTGTAGTAGATTACTCTTCAGCCCATGTGTCATATGAATTTAGACATTAAACCTCAAGGTAGGGGATAATATTATATAGAAACATAGCCAAATGAGCTTTGTTTCAAACCCGAAACAGAAATCCATCAAACCATCTATTCTTCAATATTTTCTTAATACCACATTATAGCTATTAGATCAAATCAAATGTGGAATAACAAGATAAAAAAACTTTAACCCTAATTTGTTTTCAGTCCTTGAACTCTTGACTACCCACTAACTGCTTCTTCATTGTTAATTTTAAATCATATGAAACACTAAGCATTGAATGAGCATTCAGGAAATGTGGTTGTGAGGCCCTGCACTACAGATAATTTTCTGGATGATCTTGGGTGAGTCATTTAATCTCTCCAGTTCTTTTTATTTTATTTTTTTATACAGCAGGTTCTTATTCATCAATTTTATACACATCAGTGTATACATGTCAATCCCAATCGCACAATTCATCACCCCCCCGACCCCCGTCTCTCCAGTTCTTAATCTCTTCACCTAAAAATAAGGAACTTGGAGTGTTAGATTATTTCTAAGCTTTCTTTGACTCAAAAAGCCTATGAGTCTATTCTTCAGGAAATTTTAATTAATTAGAGCTGACCTCTTGAAATTAACACCATTAACTGAAGGAACCTAACTGAATTTCATTTCTTTCTATGACAAAATTGGACACAGTGATACTACTAAGTACTATCAAGAGGACAGTGGGGAGTTACACTTACCTCTAATATTTTCTACTGATTCAAGTGGGAATGCCAAGGTATTCTAGCTTCCAGTCTGATTCAACCTTAGTAAAAGACAGAACTCTTTTTTAGTAAAAGAATTGATTCTTGGGTTAAATCAACGTGTGGATTAGTGGATCATTGTCAGAGACTGACTTCTTAGTGCTCTATTCTTGGCCTGTTGCCCTTTTAAACATTTTGTTAGTGATCTGAAGGAAACTTTTTCCAAATCAAACTTGGGAGAAATATTTAATATATTAAGGCAACAGAATCAGATTTCAGAAGAATCTCAATGAGACCTTAAAAAGTAGGCCAAAAGCACGAAGACAGACATTCACAAAAGACAAAGGTTAAGTCCGACATTTGGTTCCCAAAACATCAGCTATCCAAGTAGAGAAAGGAGAAGAACTAGTTTGACAGTAGTTGCATCTTCCCCTCTCCTTTCCTTTACCCCCACCTTGCAACGAAGCCCCACGCGGAGCTGATGGCACTGTACAAATTCTTAAAACGTGAGTACATGCCTGAGCTGCAACAGCAATAGTGTTCAGATCAAAGAGAGAAAGTGCACCCCCTATATCCTCTACAAATCAAGCCTCACCTGCAGATACGGATCAAGTTTGGGGCAACCTACTTAACAAGGCCATGGTGAATCATTCTTGATACATGCCGAGTTGGCTACTGTGCATAAGTAATTTGAAGCCAAGTCATATAGAGAGTGCTTGGGCTCTAGGGAGTCTGGTTTGTTGAGGCGTAAATGCAGGAAGGACGAGCACCTTTTAGCACAAAGCAGGGTGAGGGAAAACGGCCACCCCCAGCAGTTGGCTGGCAGCTCGCCTAATGAGGAAGTGCGAAGGCATGGACCCGCCCAGCGTGCCGGGTTGGCCTAGAACGCCGGAAGGGGCGGGGTGTACCCGAGCGCCGTCGGAAGTGGCCCTTGGGACCCCTGTGGTCAGGCCTACGCGCGTTCAGTGGGCCCAGCGCGATGGTGACGTTCCGTGACGTCTCAGTGGTTGCCGGGGCACAGTGTGGGCGTTCGGAGTCGGGCTTCTCCTCTCTTCGAAGCACCTCTCATCTGGAGCGGGCGGCTGCGACTGCACCTTGGGCGGCCGTCCGGGCCGAGAACCATGGGCCCCGGGGGCGCAGGCTGCTCAGACAGGCTGCTGCTGACAGTCGGCTGGCTGCTCCTGGCAGGCCTCCAGTCAACGTTCGGGATCGACGTCACCGCGGTCCAGGATCCCAGCTTGGCCAACGAGGTCGAGGGCGAGGTCGAGGGCGAGGGCGAGGGCGAGGGCGAGGGCGAGGGCGAGGGCGAGAACGAGGCCGAGGAGGAGGCTGAAAACGACAGCGAGGCCGAGAACGAGCCCCCGGCTGAGGCCAGGACGGATGGTAAGTGTGGGAGGCTCCTTGGCGGGGACCCGCAGGCACCCTTTGAGGGTCAAGCCTTCCCTGCTCTTTGAGGACGATGAGAATTATCCAAGTTAACATCTGTAGAGCTCTCTCTCAAAAACAACCCCGAATTTATACATTATCGCACACCTCATGGCCTTAAAAAAAAGATGTGCTAATTCTCCAAGACCAGAGCAAGATAAACGAGCACACGTATAGAAATTGCTACAGAAATACTGCAAAATATTGCTCTGGACAAGGGAATAGGTGATTATTTTTTTAAGCATCAGAGAGTAGCTTCCCACCACGGGGACCGATTTTGACTCCCCTTGCAGTTATGTTTTTTCCTTTCCATTGCAGATTTTTTTTTTTTTCTTGAAGTTCCAAAGTGCCTGAGGTCTTCCTCCGTTTTTCACATTTGCACTTTGGGTTAGAACTCAAGGGAGTTCCCAATTCCCCTCACGGTGACACATCTAGATAAAACAAGATGCTGACAAAATTCCCCGGAAGCCCCGTGTCAGCTTCATGCAGCCTCCACCCTTGAGCACCTCTGCAGTGTGATAGTGTTTTATTTGTAAGTTCAACTTTGAGTCACAAAGGAACGGTGGCAGTAGAAAACACCAATAAAGGGCTCCAACTAGAGGCTTTGTTAGATGATACAATACATGTTAACCAACAAAGACTGAGCCTGTGTTTGATACATAAATTTGCCTTATTCTCCTGGCTCACTAAGCAATAAAACTTGACAAGCTGTGGTACATGTTATATTGATTAGTAGCTCAGGTGCTTGTAGGTAAAAGGTCAGTTGCAGGTTTTCAGCCATCTAAAGGAGAATACTTCTCTTCCCTCCATAAATTGACCCATCTGAGATTCTTTTAAATATCCTTGGCAGTCTTACGTCTCCTATAAGTACAAAGTAGGTGCTGTATTTATCAGCCATTCTTTTGCTTCCTGATGACGGATAGTGACCCTCAGCGACATAAAGAAATTGACTATCTGATGTTAATGGTGGAATTGAGGTTTGTACTGCCTTGATAACATTACATTTCAGAGAGCTTGGAGAAGTCCTTGACTTTGGAAATATGAAAAAGAGGACTAGGGTAGAAAAGAGCATGTTCTAAAGCGTAGTGGCTATTGCTTCCCTCTAGTTTTAAAAGTAATTAACAATTTAAACTGGTCAAGGGATAGTTCTATCTGTAAATGCTAGAGTTCAGGCTAAACCCAGGTGATGGAGTTATAATGCCTTAGATTCAAATTTATGTTTCATAATGTACCAGCAGAAGGTATCCAAGCGTTTCAAGCAAAAATGTCAATTCATAATTGATCAGAGTCATAGTCCAAATTATTTCACGAAGTCAATATTGATTTACTTATATATACATCAGGTGTATATTTGCTTGCTGTATATTCAAGGCACTGTATTTGGTGCTTATAAGTATAGAAGTGTTTATGAAAAATTACAATAATCAAAATAGGAAAAATTCTTAGAATTATATGAAATTAATAAGTGCAAAATGAATGAAGTGTGAACGAGGTTATGCTATCTTAAGAATGCTGGTAGGGCTAGAATGCTTGCATGTACTTTATCATGTTTAATTCTTATGATAATCAGATAGGTTCTCCTTTCCAAATTTTGCAGAGGGGTTAAATAGGCCTGACACAGTTGAAGGAATTTGCCCAAACTCAGAAAAGCTAATTAGTGGTAGAGTAGCAATTTGGACTCCAATTTTGATGCGTAGTCCCATGTAATATTGTTGCCTCAGGACATAATGCCTTTTAAAAATTACCTTCTAGCACCTCATTTAATATTTATTTTTATTGAGCTTTTAGTCCTAATCTGAGTTATGAAGAATTGATTATATGCTACAGCTAGTGGAATTCATGTCAGATTTCAGAACAATTAGAAAAAGAGAAACTTGAGATTTAAAACCAACAATATTTAGCTACTCGAATACTTATATATTCCTAAATTATCCTGCTAAATAAAGTGTCGAAATAAATTCTTAGGAATAATTTACCATCTTAACCTGAGAATGAGTAGAACCAATCTATAACATAATTTTAATGAACACTTTGCATAACTACTTCTTTTTGGGTAGAAATAACACACTCAAATTTTTTTGGAAAACGGAGAATAGAAAAAATTGGGCCCTATAATTGGCAGGCTTTTTTGTGTTTTTCTGACCTCCTATATAACTTTAACTCACCATGTATTACACTGATGAAAAACATTATTTTTAAATTATGTACAAGGTTTAAACATAAATCTTTGTAAGTTATTTCCTAATTTAATTCTTCAAAGGTTTAGTTTTCTTTTGATTTAAACAGTAATAGAAGATGTACTAGGAATGGCATTGCTTTTCTGATTTAATAAAACTTTAAAAATGTCTGCTTCCCATATGATAAGTGCTTGTATCCTCCATCCCCAAGTAAGAGTTCTTCACTTAGAAAAGTTTTCCTATGATTAAATAATGTATTTTTGCATTTATGTTTAGTTTCAAATAGGACAACAGTCAAAGAAGTAGAATTTGGGATGTGCACCGTTACATGCGGTAAGTAGCATAGAGCAGATAAATAACATTGTATTGGGACGGGGCGGGGGGGTAAAAACAATGTGTACTCTCATTCATCTCTCACTGATTTCTATTTCTAATATCTATGATTTACACACAAAACTCAAACTGATTGCTTTACAAGGTAGGGTATTTTCAGTTCATAACCTGTAGGTCTTACTTTAAGCCAACTCCCTATATGTATATATTTTGGGAGGAGGGGCACATAAACTGCTTTCACCAAAGTAAAACTTTATCTCACAGATGTTCAGAAGATGAAAGATCTTCTGATGCATCTCACAGATGTCTTCCACATACTGTGCTGGCAAATCTATCAAGAAATTTACTTTATTTGTAATAGTCTATTCTTAATGATACATTTTCCCAATTTATATGTCATGTTTTAGAGAAAAGAGGTATTGGCTTTGTGGGGAAAATAATATTCAAAAACTATAACTTATTTTGATCATTCCTTGAATAGAAATTGGACATAAAAATCTCTTACGTGGGGGTGGGATTAAGACTACACATGCTATAATAGACCAGTGTTTCTCAAACTTAAGTGTTCACCCTAGGTGCCTGCAGGGCTTGTTAAAACATGGATTGCTAGGCCTACTTCAAAATTTCTAACTCACTAGGCCTTTGAAGGGGTCTAAGAATTTGTATTTCTAAACAAGTTCATAAATGAAGCTGATGCTGTTTTTTAAAAGACCATCTTTTGAGAACCACTATAGACTAGTGTGCTAAGAAGACAGTAGATAATTCACAGTGAAATTAAGTTTATTCTAAATAGAATCTGCCTTGGAAAAAAGACAGTGACAGGAGGGAAGGACAAAAACCAGAGGATAAGAAGACAGAAAGTCCATGCAGGTATGGATCAGAACAATATGTACGTTTTTTATTTTTTGGTCAAAAATTGTGCCTGAATTGTTTTTGAGATAGCATTTTTTAAATGATGTTAAAATAGACTTAACAAAAAATTTACTACTTTAACAATTTTTTGAAGGTACAATTTAGTGAAATTAAGCACATTCACATTGCCATGCAATCATTACCACGATCCACCCCAGAACTTTTTCATCATCCCAAACTGAAACCTCCGCACCAATTCAACAGTAATTCCCCACTCCCCCCAGCCCCTTGCAACCATTATTGTACTTTCTGTCTCTTGAGATAGTTTGAAACCTGTTTTTTACTTTAACTTCTTAGTGTGTCAGAGTCAGAAAATTAGAGGAATTCTGTGTAATAAACCTGTGTTTATTCATTTGCAAATTACATCTTCTGGCTGCTTACTTGAGAAATTTTCACAGGTAGAGAATTATTTTTATGACAATTCTAGTAATTGATACTGTCCTACTCTATTATTTAAAGATGTGCTTCAGGGACTTCCCTGGTGGCGCAGTGGTTAAGAATCCGCCTGCCAATGCAGGGGACACGAGTTCGAGCCCTGGTCCGGGAGGATCCCACGTGCCGCGGAGCAACTAAGCCCGTGCGCCACAACTGCTGAGCCCACGTGCCACAATTACTGAAGCCCGTGTGCCTGGAGCCCGTGCTCCGCAATGGGAGAGGGCCCCGCTCGCCACAACTGGAGAGGGCCCACGTGCAGTAACAAAGACCCAAAGCAGCCAAAAATAAGTAAATAAAATTTTTTAAAAAAAGGTGTACTTCAGAAATTATATATTATATTTGTTTATTCAGCAATTTTTTTTTGTTTTCTGTTTTTTTATTCTTGCCTACTCTGTGTCAGGTATTGTTATAGGTGCTAGGAATAAAGCAGTGAACAAAGAAGTGGAAACTCTCTGCCTTCAAAGAACATATTTTTTGGTAGGGGCAAAGAGATTAAAAGTGCCTTCGTTTTTTTACATAAAAATAAAAGGCACATTTTTCATTTTCACCACGAACTTTATTGAACAACATATTCAACCTTTTGCTCCAATACCTTCTGCCATTTTTCAGGTAACTTCATAATTCCATCTTCCCAAAACTTTTTATCTTTTTGAGCAAAGAACTGTTCCAGGTGCCTTTTACAGTCTTCCAGGGAATTGAAATTTTTTCCATTAAGAGAATTTTGTAAAGACCGAAATAAATGGAAATCTGAAGGTGCAACGTCTGGTGAATATGATGGATGAATCAGAACTTCCCAGCCAAGCTGTAACAGTTTTCGCCTGGTCATCAAAGAAACTCACAGTCTTGTATTATCCTGCTGGAAGATTATGCGTTTTCTGTTGACTCATTCTGGACACTTCGTCGAGTGCCGCTTTCAGATGGTCTGACTGGGAGCAGTACTTGTTGGAATTAATCGTTTGGTTTTCCCGAAGGAGCTCATAGTAGAGGACTCCCTTCCAATCCCACCGAATACACAACATCACCTTCTTTGGATGAAGACCAGCCTTTGGTGTGTTTGGTGGTGGTTCATTTCGCTTGCCCCATAATCTCTTCCGTTCCACATGGTTACAACGTCCACTTTTCATTGCCTGTCACAATTTGTTTTAAAAATGGAACGTTTTCATTAAACGAATGTTTTCATTACTATTCAGTAGAGAATCATATGCAGAAATATGGTCAAGAAGGTTTTTTTTGCTTAACTTACCTGGAACCCAAACATCAAAGCGATTCACATAAACAAGCTGGTGCCAATGATTTTCAACGCTTGATTTGGATATTTTTGAGTATGTCGGCTATCTCCTGCATAGTATGACATTGATTGTTCTCAATTACTGTTTCGATTTGATTGCTGTCAACTTCAACTGGTCTACCTGACTGTGGAGCATCGTCCAGTGAGAAATCTCCAGCACAAAACTTCACAAACCACTTTTGACATGTTCAGTCCATCACAGTACCATCTCCATACACTGCACAAATCTTTTTGTGCGTTTCAGTTGCATTTTTACCTTTCTTGAAATAATAAAGCATTATATGCCAAAAAATGTTGCTGTTTTTCTTCCATCTTCAATATTAAAATGGCTACACAAAAATTCACCAATTTTGATAAGTCTTTTTTTAAATGCACGCTGATATGATAGCTGTCACATACTATCTAACAAAATTGTTTCGAATGAAGTTAAAGACAACTAAGTGCTACTAGAACCATCTTACGGAAAAAATCGAATGAGCCTTTTGGCCCACCCAATAATATGTAAAACATGTAATATGTCAGATGGTGATAAGTTCTAAAAAGAAAATAAACCATAAAAGGCAATATTTCACATCTATAATTTTAAGTATTAAGAAATCTTTTCAATTTATAACAACTATTTAAAGGAAAAAATGCCTTAGTGAAAATTCTGTTGAACCCCAAAACAGTATTTTAGCAGTCAAAAAGTTTTCTTTTCTTGGAATACACAGGCAGATTTTTAAGTATGGACTTACAGAAAATCTCACATCTACACACATCCTTGCGATAAACTGTATCTGGCTAAGTAAATGCATAAAATACCTGCTTGGAAAATATGCATTTCAGAATAAGGCTATGCCTCTAGAGAAGTGCCATTCATAAATTCAAGGGGAGCCATTCTGCAGCCATTCTTAAGCATCTCTTTTAATCAAGAGACCTTTCCCCCTCCAACCTTCCTTCTCTTTATCTTATATGGAGTACTCTCCTTTGTGTCTCAAAGTTTGGTCCACAGACTTGCTATATCAGCATCGACTGAGACCTTGTTAGAAATGCAGAACCTTAGGACCTACTGCAGACCTACTTACTGAATCAGAATTCACATGTTAGTATGTCTCCAGGTGTTTTGCAATCACTCTGAAGTTTGAGGAGCGCTGTTATAAGCCATCTCTAGACTTCAACTTTCCCTTGCCTTACAAATGGGTTTTATGATTAACATCTTGCAGGGACTGAAAGAGGGAATCTGGTAGAAAGGATATCAAGATGGGCTATTCCTTAGCCTGTGACAACAGAGTCTTAATCACAGGTCATTTATCACAGGACATGTTCAACACGTCACTGAACCAGCTTTTATCATTTCCTTCAATTTTGGTGATGGTAGGGCAAACTCAGTGGAGATCTGAGATCAGTCAGTAAAGACGTGATTTCTTGCTCTGAAATGTATTGCAATTCTAATGAGAGTATCTTTTTGGAAATGGAGATTTGGTCATTAATAGTCTATCCTGATGTATTTAATACAGGGATTTTTACCAATTTAGATATTAAAAAAGCATCATTTATGTTAAAATCTAATTTTTGTAATTTCCTCTGCAAGCTCAACCCACCCCACCCCCCAACAAAAAAGTTCCATGGTCAAATAAATTTAGAAGATCCTGTGTACTACTGTATTTCATCAAATCTAAGACTTTCTTGGCTGTGATAATCACATTTTATGCATCTCTAAAAAAGGAAAAATGCTGCCATTCTTGACACACTGTCAATTCTAAGATGCATTCTGATTTCAAAGATGTTAAAATGTAAAAATTTTACATCTGAGATCAATGAAAGTTTCCACATAAAAGCACATTAATTTACTAGCATATTAAAAGTTCCCCTAAAATTCTGAGGAAAGAGGTTCCTTTCATTTTAATGTAATGTATAATTTCCAAATGTATATAATCATGGAATCCTTTTTCTTATGGTAACAACCAGAGGAAATAGTGTTTCATGTAACTCGCTTTGGAAAATGCTGTTTTAAGAAATAATTCAAAATGAGGGACCTAAAAATATCTAAATGTTATTACCCTGAATTTAGGAATTTAATTTCTGAAATTAGGAGAAAAGTCTCAAAAAGACCTAGGTGCAAAAGTAAAGGAACTCTGGAATTATTATTATTATTTTTAACATTTGCTGATTTCTTTTACCAAAGGTGTTGGTATAAGAGAAGTTATATTAACAAATGGATGTCCTGGGAGTGAATCCAAATGTATCCTACGGGTGGAAGAATGTCGTGGACCAGTAGATTGTGGCTGTGAGTTGGCCTATGTATTGGAGGGAGACTGAGGAAGCATTTACTCTGGGGAAATACCCTTAACCTTAGGTTGCCGTGAGTGGAAGGAGGTGATCAAATGATATACTGAAAGGAATTCATAAGAAAACTTAAGCTTCCGCTTCTCTAGACAGTTACAACTCTTTCTACTTTTGCTTCACATTTTTTCAGTGATGTGTAAATTTAACATACATTCTCTAGTACACTGGAACCATATTGCACTCAGGGTCTGTGGTGGAGGCTGTCCTCAAGTGAAATGCTTTTGACACTTTGGTCGTGACAGCTTATCAGTAGATTGGTAAACCCTACGTTGGGAACTTCGAGAGCCACTCTATACCACCTTTCACTAGTCAGATTCCATTATCTTTAAACATGGAAGGGGCGGAGTGTATGGGGCGGGAGGGGGGTTCTGACCCTAACCAGTAAATTGGAAGCCACTAGTAGATCTCAAAGTTTAATAGATCACTAAGTAGTTTGCCCTTGCTATCTCTTCTTCACAATTTATTCTGCTGAAGGAACAGACAGGTATGGTGTTTTCTACCTGCCTCTTTTGGCGACTTAATCTTTGACGCCTCTCTGCTCCTCTACAGTCAGACTTTCAGTAATACATTTGCTAACTTCCAGCATGTAATTGGTTTTAAAGTTGGAAGTGACTTTTAAAAGTAGTATTGTGTATAAAGCAGTTTACAGTGCCCATTGGTATATATGTATTTAATTTTTCTTTATTTCAGGGGGTAAACCAATTTCAGAAAGTCTTGAAAGTGTTAGGCTAGCATGTGTTCATACATCTCCTGTAAACCGTTTCAAATATATTTGGAGACTTCTAAGGCCAGACCAAGTGAGTAATGAATGTATGTAATTTGGTGCTTTCTAGTGAGTGATAAAATTTGTTTCCCAGTGCTTGATGACTCTCAGAAAACTTTCTCTTTAAAAGCAGTTTGCAAAAATGAAGTTAAAATCATGCAACTTTATTATTATTGGGATTTAAATTTTTTCATTGCTTAGGGAGGCTAAGACTTTACATATGCCTTAGGGCCAGCTACTATCAGAACTTAAAAACACCTATTTTATGTAAAGTGTTCTATTTTGGAAGCAATAGTTTCATTTGTATATATAGTACAAACAGTACTGATAACAGTAGCTAACATTAATAGAGGACTTATTCAGTGCCAGACATACACAAAGTGCTAGAGTTTCTTTTACTCACATAAAAATCTATGAGGTAATTCCTGTCATTATACCCATTTACAGATAAATACAGCTGTTGCTCAGTATGCTCAGGGGATTGATTCCAGGACCCCTTCAGATACCAAAACTGGGGATGCCCAAGTTCCATATGTAAAATGGCCTAGTATTTGCATATAACATAAGTACATCCTCCCATATACTTTAAATCATCTCTAGATTATTTATAATACAATGTAAATGCTATATAAATAGTTGTAAATAAAATGTAAATGCCAAGTAAATACTACTGTGCAACCAATTCAAGTTTTGCTTTTTGGAACTTTCTGGAATTTTTTTTCTGAATATTTTTAATCTCCGGTTGGTTGAGTCCACTGACATGGAACCCAAGGATATGGAGGACGAGCTGCAGCTGAGATGCAGAGAGTAACTTGCCCTGCTTCACACAGGCAGGAAGTTGGTACTTGTTATCTGGATTATCTGACTTTAAAATACATGTGCATAATTAATTACTGTACTAGAATGAGAGAAAGTGACTCTTATTTTGTTACAAGAAATAAATTGTTTCCTGATCTTAAGTTTTCATGAAGAATGTTGATACCTTTTTTTTTCTTTTAAAATAGCAAGCCATTATACTTGCAAATGATTCAGCAATCCTGGAGGTTCACAGGGATACTCACCCCAAGGCATTTGAGTGTGAAACGTTGGATAATAATGAAATAGTAGCATCTATTAAATTCACAATCTATACAACAACTGGTAAGTACCCGGCAATGTTTTGGTTTGCTTATATCTCAAACTTCAAAGCACATCAAAATCACCTGGAGGTCTTGTTGAAACACAGATCATTAGCCCAACCCCTATAATTTCTGATTCTGTAGATCTTTAGTGGAGCTGGCACAAGAATTTCCATTTCAAACAAGTTCCTAGGTGCTGTTGGTCCAGAGATCACATTTTGGGAACCACTAGTTTTATACCATTTAGACTTTTCTACAAGGTAATACTTAATTCTTATTTTTTTCCACAAAGAGAGTCAGATGTACCTCACTTTGGGAAACTGGTGTATTCCTGAAGTATCTCCAAAGAACAGTCCTTTAACTTGAATTATATTCTTACTTTTACTTCTATCACAGAGGTGAAAATGGATACATAGAATTCTAATGGATGCTTAACAAAAGTTTTGATACAGTAAAATAAATAAAATTAAGAAACGTTATGTCAAAGCACATCTTTTTAAAAATTATTCATTCGAAGACATTTTTTTATGAAACAATACAGTCCTCAATATATGTCACAAAACACAAATCTTGACCCGAACATAATTTTACATGTTAGAAACTGTGCTTCCCTTGCAAAAAGGATCCATGTGCATGTCTTTTCAATTTAAACTATGATGTCTTCTATATCCAAATAATTATTTCCTTTTGTTGAGTTGCTCTTAACCATTTTTATTGTTGTCATCTGTGTTTTTGGGTGTGTGAGGGGTTTGGTCACAAGTTCTTTTGAGAATCCAATCAAGGCTCAGGAGGCTTTTCCCAGAAAAATACCCACACATACTAACATGCCAAAAGTTACCCATAATTTTAAGAGAGTTCATGGATTTCTTGAAGCTATTTCTCAATCCCAAGTAAAGAACTCAAGCTGCAGTCTAGAGATACCATGAAACATAACACCCTTTATTGAACTGGAAACAAGATAAGGTGTTTTGGGGGTGATTTTAAAAAATAAACTATAACTTTCTTTGATGTGTTGCTCAGTGTCCTTAAAAAACCATCTTTATGGTGAAAGCTAATAACCTTACTCCTATGTTGGGATAACAGGTGTTATTAAAAGGATAATTTCAATCAAGTGCTATAAAAGGCAAAAAAGGACCAAACATCATCAACTAAAAAGTATCTCAGTGAGTCATAGTTCAGGATATTAAAGGATTCAAAGGCCATTCTCAGTTATATTCCCCACAGCTTGGTCCCTGTTAGGACAGCTTAGTAGTGGTTAGCTCTTCCTATGTTAGAAGGCAACATGTGTAAGCTAAGGGCTGGAGCACAGACCCCAGTGTCAGCAAGTGAGACAAAGCTGATTTTTCTCTCTTGTAGCTGTCCAAGGCTGGTGGGGTAGCTCTGCCATCTCAGCACATGCACTGGTTAAATGACAAAATGTTTTCAGAAAACTTTGGTATTTATTAGTTTCTTTTAAAAAGGACAATTGGGCATGCCGCTGTGACAGACCCTTTTGGCTCTTTAGACATCAAACAAGTATTTTGGCTATAAATGTTCACACAATATGGTACTGGCTTGAAACGAATGCATGATTGAAATATTTTCAGGGTAAATATGGTTTAATTAATGAAAATGTCCCATCCATTCTCTCATATAACAGGTTTTTCACCTTCCACAATAGTTGTCTTTCATAGTTAGGCATGGTTTTGATTGAATTATGTCCCCCTGAAAAGATACTTTCAAGTCCAAACTCCTAGAACTTCAGGAATGTGACTGTGTCTGGAAATAGGGTGGTTGCAGATGTAATTAATTCAGTTAAGACAAAATCATACACACTAGAGGAGAGTGGGCCTTTAATCCAATATGACTAGTGTCCTTATAAGAAGAAGGAAATTTAGACACAGCCACACAGAGAGACAGGAGAATGTATGTGAAGACTCAAAGACACGCGGGGAGAAGACAGCCATGTGAAGACACACGGAGATTGGAGTTGTGCTATCCCAAGCCAAGGAACATCTGGGGCTACCAGAAGCTGGAAGAGGAAAGGAAGGATCCTTCCCCAGAGCCACTGGAGAGAGCATGGCCTTACCATCACCTTATGTTCAGACGTTTATCTTCCAAAACTGTGAGACAATATATTTCTGTTGTTTTTAAGCCACCTAGTTAGTGGTACTTTGTTATGGTGGCCCTAAGAAACTAATATAAACATAAACTTAGTTTTTCTAAAAAGTGAGAGCATCGAAATTCAGCCTGTTTTTTATCAGAAAATTTCAGTAGAAATGCAGACTATCTTTTTTATTAGATACAAAAGTAATCTAAGGGACCCTTGCAAGAAGACTACCATTGAAATGAACCAAAATCTTTATACCTCTCATTCTCCATCTTCTCTTGGCTAGTATTGCAGGGTAGTAGATAAATGGAAAGAAATTTTGCATTTCTTCTCAAGTTTTAATCCTAAAAGGTTTTTTTAAATTTGAGCTTAAAAAATCCCACTGCTTCTATAAATCTAAAATTATCAAAAATAAAAAGATTTTTAAAATCCAACAATGTTGGAATATAAATATGATATAAATTGTCTACCATACTTGGAACTATTTAGCGAGATTACTAAATTGAGTTTATAGCTCTAGAATTACCAAGGAAAATGGAAGATTATACTGCATGGTGTTTAAAGAACAGGAAGAAAATCCAGATGAATAAGCAGTTGGGATTGCCCATATATGAGACTAATTCTGTTAGAGTGGTACTTACCAAAATACTAAAATACATAAAACATAGCTTGCACAAATCATTATGTCTCCCTGGATGTTGGTTTGCTTATCTGTATAAAAGTTGTATAAGATGACCTTTCTGGCCCTTCCCCACATGAATCTTTTATGAGTCTACGATTAAGGGGCCAGGAATAGCCAAAAGAAAGCTACATAATTCACTAAGTAAGTAATGCTTGATATAAATTGAATTTTTATCAGTTTACAATGTAGCAGTGTTATAATGCATATGGTAAACTGGTCATGTCTCCATAATAGCATTATTTTCAGGAAGAACAGAAAGATATGGGAGAGAATGCTGATTTAAAAGTGGTGTTTGGCTATTCGTATGAAGAAAAATGAGCTTCAATTCCTACTTTACAATGTATACAAAAATTAGAGATGTATTATAGTCCTAAATGTAAAAGCTAAAACCATCAAGCTTAAAAAAGGAAACATAAGAGAGTATCTGTATGATTCAGGAGTAGGCAAGTTTCTTTTTAGACATGACAAAAAACAATCACCATAAAGGAAAGATTGCTAAATTAGGCTTCATCAGAATTAAAAACTTCATCTTCAAAAAATGGTGTTGAGAAAACTGGACAGCCACATACAAAAGAATGAAAGAAGGTCACTATCTTACCTCATACACAGAAATTAACTCAAAATGGATTAAAGACTTGAATGTAAGACCTAAAACCATAAAATTCCTAGAAAAAACATAGGCAGTAACCTTATTGATATAGGTCTTAGTGATATTTTTGTAGATCTGACTCAAAGACAAGGGAAACAAAAGCAAAAATAAACAAATGGGACTACGTCAAACTAAAAAGCTTCTGCACAGCAAAGGAAACCATCATCAAAACGAAAAGACAACTTATGGAATGGGAGAAGACATTTGTAATGATATCTCTGATGAGGGGTTCATAGCCAAAATATATAAAAACTCACACTAATCAACAACAACAAAAAACAAACAACCTGATTGAAAATTGGGCAGAAGATCTGAATAGACATTTTTTCCAAAGAAGACATACAGATGGGCAACAGGCACATAAAAATATGCTTGACATCACTAATCAGGGAATTTCAAATCAAAACCACAAAGAGATATTACCTTACACCTGTTAGAATGGCTATTATCAAAAAGGACAAGAAATAACAAATGTTGGAGAGGATGTGGAGAAAAGGGAGCCCCTGTGCATTGTTGGTGCAGCTACTATGGAAATCAGTATGGAGATTCCTCAAAAAATTAAGAATAGAACTACCATAAGACAGCTATTTCACTTCTGGGTATTTATCCAAAGAACATAAAAACACTCATTCAAAAAGATAGATGCACCGCTATGTTCACTGCAGCATTATTTACAATAGCCAAGATATAGAAACCACCTAAGTGTCCATTGGTGGATGAATGAATAAAGATGTGGTATATATACATACAATAGAATACTATTCAGCCATAAAAAAAGAATGAAATCCTGCCATTTGCAACAGCATGGATGGACCTTGAAGGTATTAATCCTAAGTGAAGTAAGTCAGTTGGAGAAAGACAAATACAAAGATTTCACTCATATGTGGAATCTAAAAAAACAAACAAAATAAAACAAAAACACACTCATAGGTACAGAGAACAGATTACTGGTTGCCAGAGGGGAAGGGAATTCAGGGGTGGGTGAAATGGATGAAGGGGGGAGTGCAACTGTATGGTGATGGATGGTAACTAGACTTGTGGTGGGGATCACTTTGCAGTGGATACAGATGTCAAATTATAATGCTGTACACCTGAAACTTATGTTAGAAAGTTTAAAACTTCAGCTCTTTAAAAGGAATCATTAGAGGGCTTTCCTGGTGGCGCAGTGGTTGAGAGTCCGCCTGCCGATTCAGGGGACACGGGTTCGTGCCCCGGTCCGGGAAGATCCCACATGCCGCGGAGTGGCTGGGCCCATGAGCCATGGCCGCTGAGCCTGCGCGTCCGGAGCCTGTGCTCCGCGGTGGGAGAGGCCACAACAGTGAGAGGCCCGCGTACCGCAAAGAAAAAAAAAAAAAAAAGAAAGAAAAGGAATCATTAGAAAAATGAATAGGCAAGCCAAAATCTGGGAGAAAAAAAAATTATAAAACAAGTACAGCAAGTACAATCAGTTTGGGAAAAGATCTTGCAGTTTCTTGGAAAACTAAGCATACCTCTACCCTATGACCCAACAGTTCCACTCATATGTATTTACCCAAGAGAAATGGAAATGTATGTTCACAAAATGACTGGTGTGAGAATGTTCATAGCAGTTTATTTATAATAACCCCAAACTGAAACAGCATTGGTGTCCATCAGTAGGAGATAGAATAAACTAATTGAGGCATAGTACCCAGTAATAAAAAAGAAAAAAACTATTGATACATTCAACAATATGGTTGAATCTCCAAAACATTACACTGAGTAAAAAAACCTTACACAAAAGAATGCTTAATGTATGTTTCCCTTCCTATGAAGTTCTAGAACAGGCAGAACTAATCTATGGTGGAAAAGAAAATCAGGACAGTAGTTTTCCCTAGAGGTTGGGGCAGGGATTAACTGGGGGGGCTCGAGGAAACTTTTGGGGTATAGTAATATTCTGTGTATATTCAGGGGTTTGAATTATATATGTCTGTTTGCATTTGCCAAAACTAAATAAATGCACATTTAAGATCATTGTGCAATTTGGTGTTCATAAATTTTACCTCAAAAGAAAAAATATAAACGAATGTTGAACTCTAGTTAATGATTTGCCTGTTGAAGAATTTTGTAGGAAGTGTGCAGACATCAGCAAATTATCTTGAAATGCATCAAAAAATAAGATGAATCAATGGATTGAGAAGAGTATGGATAGAGGGATAGTTAAAATGTTGATGGTAGTGTCTAGGTGGTGGGATGTTTATTGTCAAATGCTTTCAACTTTTCTGTGTGTTTGAAAAGGACACTTCTAACACGCAGAGCAAGTTCATTAATAACTTTGCTTCCATTAATTCTTTCTGTATTTTTCTAGAGTTTTTCAAATATAAAGTTTCCATTTAGATATCCATTTTCTTTTATTTTCCAGTAGTAATAATCATCAGGTGTTTTTTTCTCTAGAATTGCAGATGAAAAGATCAAGCCGACCAGACATTGATGCAGTCCTAGTTCTGGTTCTGACCATGGGAGTTATTATGTGTATATTTGTGGTCTTTGTACTGATCTTCATAATTATAAACTGGTAGGTGAAGGACTGAAACTAAGCCATCACCCTTGATTGATGTCCTCCTTGTCTGCCCCTCCCTGTCTGTTGAATCCAAGGCCCTGTCCATGATGCTTCTCACATGGGTTTTGAAACTGTCCAACTCTCTTCATCCCTCCTGAGACTCTCCTAGTTCAAGCTACCTAATCTCATGACTTGATCCCCAACCATGAGAAAGCTTTTCAATGCAATTTTTACAATTTTACGTAGTAGTTGCTAAAGAAAAACGTTTATTGAATTAATATTTGTGTTGTCTAGTTGTAGTTATCACAACTTTAAAAGTTGGTTATTGTAACCTACTAATTCATTTATATGAGAATATTTCTGATACCTACATAAGTATCACCCCCTGGTACATCTGAGGGCTCATCTACTATCACAATGCAGCTGGTGCACCACACAGTAAAAATAAATCATGACTAAGGAGGCACTTCTATATATAGAAAACTAAATATAAATCTATTTAGTTTTCATTTCATAAAAGATTTAAAAAATGTTTTTCTTCCAGGGCGGCAGTCAAAGATTTCTGGGGGGCAAAAGCCTCGACACCTGAGATACAGTCTGAGCTGAGTTCAGTGAGATATAAAGATTTATCCAGTCTTGACCAATCACCAACTTCAGAAACACCTGGACATGAAGATGATGCTTTAAGTGAATGGAATGAATGATGTATGGATGATGTATAGCAAACCAAAGGAGATTAGAGCATATCAGATTCATTATTATAAAAATAAAATATATAGTGAAATACTTTAACAATATTGTAAGTGATTTATTATAGTCTGAAGGTAATGTAATATGAGAAGGGGCTGTTTTAATCAGTGCATCTTTGTGGTGGAGTTATCAAAAAGTTTTAAATTTGTTCTCAACATTTACCATTTCAAGTAATCACTTGGTAGCTTTTATCTAGAGGCACACACACAAAATCTTTTAAACACATTTTTGATCACTTTGATCACTTCTAAGGTGATTTGCCTGTTCTGTCACAAACAAGAAAATAATATATAGAAGATGCCTTGCATATTAGACTTTCTCCCTGCTGGGAGCACTGGACTGAACTTGCTTAGAGCAAACCATACTTTAGAATCTCTGCAGGGCATGTGACATACAAAGCATCACTTTTAGCACATGAAATAATAATAATGATAGCAACCGACACATAGTAGCTACTATGTGCCAAGCATTGCTCAAAGCATTTTACATGTATTAAGTGATTTAATTATGATCGCGTATAGGAAGTATATAAGGAGGAACTGAGGAGGAACTTGGGGATGGCTGAGTAAATGACGTGAATTTAACATGCCCTGCAATTCTCACAGAAACAGTGAATTAAGGAGTTTTGCATGACCACTGGTAAGTACCTTCATTGTGTTTGGTATGCGGGCGATAACATCTCAAAACTTATATCTGGATATCATCACTGGCTTTTTGTGCTGTGTCATTATGTGATACAGTTGTGGTCAACTATCAGACAAGATAACAAGACATTAGATAATTTGATTTGGTAGACTTCATCAGAACTTAATTTTCAGAGTCTATGATAGTAGCACAAAATACACTTAATTTTTTGTTTAGATGAACTGTATGCCAACTTTATTGCTATCACTGTGGGATTTATCTGATGAAAGCGTTAACTCTGCACATCTGTGAAAAAGTCATTGTAGATGGGCATTTATGGTATACCTCCCTATGGTAGCCTAGACAGAGGCTGTGTTGTGGAATTATCCATGCTTTTTGTTATACAGCATTTGTATTTGAGAGAAGCAATGAAGAATTGGGTGGAAAATTATTTTGTTATCTGTTGTAGGAATTCCACTAGGGATTTTAAGTGAAAAGAAATTGTTTTCATAAAATCTTTCAAAAGAATTTGTGTGTGTGTGTGTGACACCCCTTCTTCCCCCCATATAAGTGTGGGGGAAAAAATAAGCCTTCTTATTCCTGATTAAGTATGGTCATGTAACTTCAGCATAGATGCTAGACATTCTTGAATAGTAATTACTATCAATTCTTATTTTTAAAACCATGAACAGCAGTCGTTTCCAACTATACTTCAATGACCACTAATGTTCAGTCAGGTTAACAGGTTTAGTTGTCAGTGCTGTTCACTGGATGTTCCTGGCTGTCTGCTTACCAGCCATGTGCTAGGGCAGTACCTCCTCCGCCCCTTGTGATTGGGTGGGGTCATGTGACTACTTCTGGCCAATGAGTTATGAGCCCAGATTTCAAATGTCACTTTCAGTCTAGAACATTTCACTGTGAAAACATCCAGAGCTCACCCTTCTCTCTGCTAGAACAACCAGAAATGTTTAGATGGTGGCTTCTTTGACACCTTGGATCCCAGAGGGAAGGCCACATGGCACAGGATCTCCAGTCAATAAACAGTGGATATGTAGTGTGAGAGAGAAATAAACTGTGTTATTTTAAGCACTGAGGGTTAGAGACTGTTTGATACAGCAGCCTTAGTAAGACTATCCTGAGTGACACGTGTTTTCTGAAAAATAAGTTTTCATGGTCAAATGAGTCAAAGACCTCTTCAGTACAGGACTTCCCATCAAGGTGTTATATACATTGTGACTCTCCAACAAGGGGATATAGGTGCAATATTTTCCTAACTTATTGGTGGTCTGTGGAACAAAATTGAAAGCCTGCCATCCCAACTCAGAAACACACTTTTGAGCAGGACTGTCTGGCAGGTCTGTCTACGAGGAGTCAAGGCTCAGTGAGGTAGTCTTTCATAATGTATAACACACAACAAGTCAGCAATGCAGCTTGACAACAGTAGCACCTTCCCTCTTAGATCTTTCAGTGTTACTTAGACCTTTCACTCATCCAGACCCACCTTGATGGACTTTCTTGAAATCATCCTCCTAAGACCACAGCTCCTCTCTCAAGTCCTATGACCACACTGCATTAAGTTCAAATAATTGACAAATCTTATATTGAAGTGGATTATAATATGTTCCAGGTCTCCATGAACTCACTCCAGGTCTCATGAAAACCCTCTGTCTTTTGCCACTTGGTCATAGTCTGTGTGTAAGGGGATCTCTCGCTGCCATGGGCCATGGGGTCTCTGTTGCACATCACTAAAGATTAATGGGGCCAGTCACTTTCCTCTCCAGGCAGACCAGGCCAGAGGCATCTTCTAGTTCCCATCTACTCCTAAATTCCAGACATCTGTTACTTTTCCTGGTCACCAAAATATCCCCCAAAAAAGCCTTGAACTTTGCATCTGGATCCAGGAGGTAAAAAAAATGTAAGCAATTATATACCAAAAAGAGACCTTCCTTTTGGACCCCAGGACATCGGTCTCTGCATATGCAGCAGCTGGATTTTGTGAAGCATTCAAATAACACCGTACTCACCAAGAGAATCTTTCGTTTGTCCTTCCAATCAACTAACATTCATTGGGCCACCCCATGGGCCAGATACTGTACTAGGCACTAGGAATACAGTCTGTGCAAAAAAAGCAGAAAAGATCCTTCTTCTCTTGGAGTTGGTCGATTACCCAAGACAGCCATTAAAATTAACTAAAACTGGGATGAATAAATTGAAAGAAAGCTGCACATTTCTATGAAGCTGTAGTAGGGGAAATGACATTTAAAGGAGCTGTAAATGTACACACTGCTATATTTAAAATAGATAATCAACAAGAACCTACTGTATAGCACAGGGAACTCTACTCAATACTCTGTAATAACCTAAATGGGAAAAGAATTTGAAAAAGAATAGATAACATGTATATGTATAACAGAATTATTTTGCTGTGTACCTGAAACTAACACAACATTGTTAATCAACTATACTCCAATATAAAATAGAAATTAAAAAAATAAGGGAGATGTAAGGCCCCCATAGGAGTTACTCTAGTTAATGGGGAAGAGGGCCTAGGCAGAGGGAACAGTAGTTGTGAATGCTCTGAGTCAGGAAGGAACATGACACATCCTGAAGAAGGGTTAGCTGAGCTGGAGTGTAAAGAAAGAGGGAAAGAGTGGTGGGAGATGAGGCTGGAGATGTATGCAGGAACTGGTGATAGTGTGTGTGTGTGTGTGTGTGTGTGTGTGTGTGTTTACAACACACATGAAAAAATATAGCTAAGTGACCTGAGAATACAAATCAAGGGAGTCATTGTTGAAATTGGCACTCCTGATTTTTTTTTGCTATACTGCATTTGCCTATGCCTTCCTGGAATTCATTTATTATCAGCCTTTTAACAAACAATGACTATTGATGCTCACCTAGATAGGGTAGTCTATACTATTTGGGTTCCTTTGAGTCCTACTGAAATGCAAGATCTCATTAATCAGACCTTAATTCTTATCCATAACAGTTCCTAATTCACTCTCATATTATGAAGCTAAGAGCTAGATAGAGAAGATTAAGAGTTCACAACAATGACCAGGGCTGGTGGGTATGCCTCCGGGCCAGCAGCAAGCGATAAAGTGATTGATAGACATAGTAGGCTGCGGTTTTCTGCAGTCTTGAACATGACCTGTAATGACTCATCCTGTTGAAACACATTTGAATTTTCTTTAGTTAACATACGCATAATGTTTCAATTCAAAATGGTTTTCTTCCCAGAGTGTTTCTAGTATAATCCATATATTCTCTGTTTCTGTCTCTTGATCTCTTGAAAATTGACGTGCTTTTTTGTTGTTGTTGTTCCACTTTACATTTTAAATCTACTTCCCCAGTCATTTTTGGTTATATTCTGGAGGACAATCTTTTTGGAATTCATAACCCCATCACTGTTGTGATCCACCATCTGTCTCAAAAAACATATAACCCATTCACATGGTTATTTAGGCTTTGAGGTCTGTGCAATTTTATTATCTGTGATCAAGTCATTTGTGTGATGGAAAACAATTTGCCTTTGACAGTTTTCTCTTCTTGTTGAAAATGAAACTAGGATGTTGAATATCAAGGGCTTTTTCCTTCACCATTTAAAGGAAATAAATTGCAAAAGGGAACGCATCTTTCTTTGATGTTCAACTTCTACATTTTGTGAAAATACCCAGTGTATTTAAGTACATGATAGGTATTCAAGTTTTTTTCTTATTAAGAGGAAAATTTAGGATTAAGCAACAATTATTTAAATCGTGTTCTTAGAGACATGTGTACTAGTTGGTTATTTTTTGTACCTGTCCATGTATTTATAAATATAGACCTTACTTGAAATAACAAGAGCCTCTAGGCTCTGTAGTGAGTACTTTCACTACATGAAAGTACACGACTATCTCTGCTAAGTGAAATTTGCATGAGAAAAGGTCCAAAGGTGGCAATGTAAATGGTTGCTTTATGTGATGATAGTAGGATATGTCCTTGAGGAATGTTTCCATCACTGTAGAGAATTTATCCTGAGCTACCTACAATGCCCACTGAGTTTCTTCTTCACTCAGATATATTTTTTGGGGGGTGTGCATTATTTGTTGAGGACAATAGGAACATCACAGCTTCCTTTCTGTACATTAATCTTCCTCCCTTTTCTGACAGATATGGTTTTAGGTATTCCTGAGATAAAGCTCAAGGTGATTTTGGACAAACTGGTTGGGTTTAAGCCCTCTCATTAGAAAGGCATGTGAGATTTGTATCTTTTACGCAGTACCCCAAGGTAACACCAATAAAGTGATTTACAAGGAACAGAAATCATCTGACAGTAATGAAATCATGTTCTTCCAGAGCAAACAATATAAAACCCTAGAGGTAATAGGGACAGGAAAGAGTACAGTACAAGCAATACTCTTTTGTATGCTCTGGGG